CCCTCCCAGCTTCTCCACCCACTTCCCAGCTTCTCCACCCCCCTCCCAGCTTCTCCATCCCCTCCCAGCTTCTCCACCCCCTCTCCTACCGTCCATGGCAGTGGATTCTGCACACTCAAGCTTCTCTTCCCTGTGCCCTCTGATGCCTGGTGGCCCCTGCTTCTCAGCTCTCTGGGCCTCCCTCTCTCCCTCATTCAGTCCTTTTCCCTATCCTTCTTCCTGTCCCCATCTCTCTCTCTCTCTCTCTCTCTCTCTCTCTCTCTCTCTCTCTCTCTCCCTTTATCTCTGTCTCCATCTCTCTGCTGCTGTCTCTCTACTCTGTCTCTGTCTCAACATCTCTGTCTCCAGTCCACCTTCCTGGAGCCAAGGTCAGATTCCACTGGGGGGCATCCTAGACAGGGTCCCTGGATGCAGCTCTCTCTGATGAAGATCTGCCTTCAAGGACTGGGGGGGGGGAGCTTTCAGCCTCAGCCCCTTGAGGAGTGGACCCCGGCACTGGGCAGGAGGGAGGCTGGGTTTCCATCCAGTCTCAGTGCAGGCCTTGGCCAACATCATGGGGTGCTTTGGTGCTGGGACAGGGTCTCAGAGTTGTCCCCGTCAGGCCAGCGGATCAGATTTCATACCCCGGTGTTATCCTGTTGTGGGACGCGGACCCGTGACGGGTGTGACCTGGCCAGGTGGCTGTCCTTCATGGAGGGGGTCCCCGGGGAGCTGGCCAGCTGCCTCCTGAGCTGTAAGCATTCCCAGCAGCAGGACAGCCTCCCCCTGCAGGGAGATCGGGGTGGACCCACAGTGTCCTCTGCGGGGGGATCATCCCTCTCCAGGGTACAGCTGCCCGGGGCCACCTCAGTTGCTTCCTGTACCCGCTGTCCGGACCCCATGGTGCTGTGACCTGGAGCATGGCCACCACGCACAGGAGCAGCCGATGGAAGGAGCCGAGGGCCCAGCAGAACCTTCAAGAACCCTGGACTCTTCACCTTAGCCGTCTTGTTCCCAGCTTCCCAGAGGCCAGGGGGACCCTGTGCTCCCAGCGAGTCTTCCTGGTCAAGGCCGGTTGACCCTGTGGTCAGAGTCATAGATCCAAAGAGATTCTGGGGTTGCCCGTCAAGTGGCACGACACTGTTCTGTCACCCAACCTCAGAGCACCAGAGACCGGGCACTGAGGATGCGTCCCCTGCTGCAGGTGGACCAGGCCAGACGCAGCCCCTGCACCATCTACCTGCCACTTCTCCTCCCCCGATGCCTCTGAAGTTTTCCTGTGAACAACTATGATCATTGATTTTTTTTGTCTGCTAAGTCTGGGTCTCTTCCTCTCTAGAAATTTGCCCCAGGAAGGGAAAGCACGTATGCTACCTGGTTCCAAAATAGCACCGGCCATCAGCCCCCGCCCCGCTGCAGTGGAGATGTGGCAGGAGTCCCATCCTTTCCCTCCCCTTGACTGATCTCCAGGTTCAGCCTCCTGGGACGGCGTCTTGTCTTGGCTGCATTTCCACGTTCATCCTCTCCACCTTGATTTAATGCCTCTCGGGTAGTGAGGACTTGTGCTTCCCACCCACCTACTCGTGGGCATCTGGCTGATTTCCTCGTCCCGGGGAACGGAGCTTCCTCAGTGTGGAACCTTTGTGCATTGCATTTAGATGGCGGAGAGCGACAGGCCTGTACCTTCCCAGACCTCCGGCAGGATGGCGTTGGCATTTGGGGGAATCCAGGTGTGGCCCCCCCATCCAGATCCCAAGGGCCCCTGCAGGGAACAGCTGGGAGATGCTTAGAGCAGTTTGGGAGAACGAGGCTCCTGGGCCAGCGGCCTGGTGGGAGGGGCTGAAGGGCAACCTTCCCGCCTCCACCTTCCAGGATGGAACCCAAGAGCCTGTTCTTGGAGCCGACAGCTCTTCAGCAAATGTGTGTGACTGACTTTTCACCATCCTCCTGGACGGGCGGGAGCCAATCCTTGTTTTTGCTAAAATAGAGATGCAGGGTCATGACACCCCAGAGCACCCTCCTGGGTCACTCCTGGGCACCGTGGTGACGTGGTGACACACGTTCCCACTTCCACGTGGTACATCCCTAACGGAGTTCTTCCTACCTGACACGGACATCCACGGTGAGCAACCCGGGGCATCTAGGGAGTCAGGCATCTTAGATCTCACCAGCTTCCTGGGGGCTATTAAAGCCACTTGAAGGTTAGCGTCCGGAGGATCTAGAAGCCCAGCTTTGCCCTCCTCCTTCCGGACCCCGTGCATGTCCAGCTGGCCTCCGGGGATCCTGTGTGTGCCTGAGAGCGCTCCACTCGGGTTTCTTCATCTCAGTCTTTATTTTGGAGCTTGTCCCCGACAAGCCACGTGAGGGCATCGTCTCTCTGCTGGGCTTCTGCTGCAGTGTCCACAGACACCTCGGACCTCCTGCCCCTCTGGCAGATATGAGGGCACCTTGGGTTCCTTCCAAAACGTGCCACAGTCCCTGCTGTTGTGACCCTCTGCGGCAACGGAAGGATGTCCCTCTGCCCAGCCTTGAATCCACGTGGGTCAATGGGCTCTCAAAGTATGTTTTGTGCTAAAACATCTCCGCACCAAGATGCAAGCCACCGAGACACGCCCTCTGGCGTCTCGTACCTTGAAGCTCAGGAACATTTATACAAAAAGGGTCATCAGACCTGGGGATTTTTCTCCTCCATGCCCAAGGCTCCAAAGAGCCCGTGTTACTATGAGAAAAGGAAGGGCGAGCGTATAGGATGCTCCTGGAGAGGGTGTGGGAAAGCAGATCAGGTGATTCCCACCCGGTGCCGTCCGTCAATCCAGCTCCCCAGGCTCTGCCTCCGGCCAGTCTTGTGAGCCGCCCGTGGTGGTGCAGGGAATGGAGTGGGTTCCTGCCAAGTCAACATCACCACTGATGACACTGTGGACAATGATAAAGTCACCCAGCAGCAACAGAGGGCAGGAAGAATTCCAGTCAAGCCAGGGACCTGTTAGTGACATCCACTGTCTGGGGTCTCAGCTGGTCAGACCAAACCCCATCTCAGTAGCCAACAGATAACAGAAGTGCGCTCCTCCTAGCCAGAGGATGAGCCAGTCGGTCCCACTGCCCTGCAAAACGGTCCTCTGGGGAGCTGCTGGCGGGGGGTGGGGTGGCCATTTCTGAGCATCAAAGAGCCCTGGGTGCCCACGGAGGTCCCATGCATCAGAACCGGGGGGAATTGGACGGGATTTTCTCTCGCTCGTTGGTTTCCTTTATTAATGGGACTGTTTATGCTTCTCACATGGACGAAATCACAATGCTCTTCACAAAGGGAGCAGATGGCACCGGGAGCTCAAGATGGGCCGATTGCATCTCTTGTAAGTGGCGCTAACAGAGCCTTGTCTTGGATGTAAAGGAACTTGAATCTAATTGCGGGGTTGGCTGCTCCAATTCCGTGTAACTATGTGTTTCTTTATCTGTGTCTGCCCCCCTCAAATTGGATGCTTTTCCGAGCGCCTGTCAAATAACTCCCTGGGGAATCTGAGTGGCGTAACTGAGACCGAGTTTAATACCGTGGTTTCTCTGCCGTGGAGCGTCTGACACCAAGGCTTTCTCTAGCCACATCCCCCTGGGGACCCTCCCACTGGGGAGCCACATTTGATGGTGAACTCTCTTCCTGGCCACAGGTGGTAAGGGCTGGCATTTAGGCCCAAAGTAGCCAGTGGGGTCACAGCCTCATGTGAGCACCACGGACTGACCCCGTTAGCTTCTCTCTCCAAAGGACTGGAGTGTGCGGCAGGCGCAGAGGAAGTCTGTACAGGTAGGGGCCTGGTCTGTGTTCTTTCCTGGTTCACCAGGATGGTCCAGCTGGGCGCAGTGAGTGACGATGCACTCCTGTCATCTTGGGAGGCTGAGAAAGGAGGATCACGAGTTCAAAGCCAGCCTCCGCAAAAGTGAGGCGCTAAGTCACTCAGTGAGACCCTGTCTCTACATAAAGTACAAAACATGGCCGGGGATGGGGCTCAGGGGTTGACCCCTCCCCTGGGTTCCATCCGCCAGTTCTCCCCACCAACCCAGAGAAAAGAAAATACATTAGAAGGATTGTCCACCCTAGTACCCAGCCGGGAATGATTGACAAATAAAACAGACACAGAGATCTCACAGAGAAAATGAATGAGCATCTGTCTCCCTATATTTTCCATTTATCCTCTTGCTACTAGGTAACCAGTTTCTTCCTCTTTCCCGCTTTTTAAGTATTACGATTTTAATAGATTTTATTGTTCAGATGTATTTTAGGTTCACAGCCAAATTGAATATAAGGGACAGAGATTCCCATTTAGAGACCCCCCCACACACACAACACATGAATAACTTCCTTCCTTATCCGTCTTTCTCACCGAGTGGCACCTTTGTTACAAT